ATACTATTTTTTTATTAAACTTTCAAAATTTAAAAACTATATTAGTCTCAACTAATTTAAAAATAAATCACAATGAATCACATAAAAAAATTTTAATGTCTATTATTTTATTTATTAAATTTAAATTTATAACTTTATCTAAATAATATTTCCACCCAAATATCTGATTTTATTTTATTTAGACTTTATTTAAATCAAAGAATTGAATGATCAAAATAAGTCAAAAATCCCGCTCACATGTCAAATCCCTTGCCATATAAGCATAACATGGCAATATTTTGCCATCCAAGTAGCCAAGCGAGTGAGTCCTAAACAGCAGTTAAGCCAAGCGAGCAAGTCCCAACTGGCAGTTAAGTTGGCGTAAGAAGAAGGGCTTAATTACTTTGATCGCAGAGTTCAAGGGTTTATATGCATCAATTAAAGTTTAAGGACTTAATAGTGATTCTGGGGTTAGTTCAGGGGCTTAACTTATAGTTTTGCCAAAGCAAAAATGCAGGCAATGGGTGATTTTCCTGTAGTGACTTGAGTCTTCATGTTAAAGACTCATGTTCGATCTTAAAATAGATGAGGATAGGTTTGGGGAATGAAGACCTACCCCTTGTTGTATCATAACAAATAATAAAGTTGTTCTGTAGTTGATTCCTCGTTGTAGTGCTTTTTTCTCTAAAACTGTTCCTTGACCCTTAAGTCCTGTCACAAGATTAGAATTCTAGCTCATCCCGAGTAAACTTTGTTGCTTTAAATATATATAAGAAGGTTTAACACTTTTTTTCTCTCAAGTATTCTTAATTATTTTTTTAAATTTAAAATTGTACTTATTGTTATATATTAAATACTATGATAAAAAATATTTTTGAGATAATACATATTATATTATCAATAAATAAGTAATAATCAACTATAAGTCAAAAGCTTTTTCATTTCATAAAATATCCTTATCAAATACCTACACCTAAAAAGGCAAAAATATGACATAAGGACTTGAACTTACACCAAATTCGTAATTTCGGACCAGAACTTCAATTGCGCTCAATGAAGGTCCCGAACTCCATGAAATTCTCAAATAAGGTCCCAATTGGATAGAAAACTAACTTTCGTCAAATCTCCTACAAATACCGTTAACACGTTAATGCTCCACCCAACTATAACGCAACTGGAGAAAATTCTGATGACATGTCAATTATTTTACCATGTGGATGCCATGTGGACATGAATTGTTGGATTGTCTTGGGCAGGACATTCCCCTCTAGGACTTTTTTCTTTTTGGCAACTTTTTCTTTCCCTCCCATTAAAATCTCTCGATTCTCTCCAACTTCCAAGACTATTAAAGTCTCAGACAAGAAAAAAAAAACCCTATTTCTTTTCCCTGCAATGTTGTCCTGTGAATGTGACTTTTAAGGGATTTACAAAACGTGGTGGGGTCTTCTGATACAGCTTCAAAGATTCCACAAGTTCTTTGTGGGTTCTATAATTTTAGGTATAGACATGTGGCCTTGCTTTAATTGTTTAATGAATTCAAGCTATGTAATGTGGTTTCTTTACTCTTTCTCTCAGGTTCTCATGATTTTTTTACATTTGTTTTATTTTTCCAATTAATGGGAGGCATAGATGGTAGTTGTTGTCTTTATTTTCACAATAAATTTTTACTTTGTGTAGCTGTGTGTGAGATGATGGTTTAAGTATATTAATTTGAGTTATTGAATCTGATTTTATAGTCCATAATGGGTGAGAAAACATTGACATTTTTCATGGTGGATTTTTCCTCCATAGCCCTGATTTATGATATATTGGAGGGGATAGGTATGTTCAAAATATTGATGAAGACAAGATTAGTTATTTTGAAATTCGAGGCATTGTAATTGATGATTTGAAGTTAAACTTTTCAAGATTATATTATAGTATAACCTGGACTTGGTTTGGAGCAAGGATTATTTGAAATTTGTAATGATATTGATGCATTAGAGATGGCAAAACATTTAATTGAACATAGTAATGTGAATGTTTATATTCACAATGGGCTTGGGCATATGCTACTTGATGCACCTCATATTATTCATGATGTTATTGAAATTGATGATGATGAGAATGAGAATGAAGATAATGAAGAAATTGGTAATGCAATTAAGGGTGATCATGGTGATGACAGAATTGATGGTGACTATGTTAATGAAGCTGTTGACATATCTCAATTAAGTTCTAATGAAGAAAATCAAGTCAATGAATCAATTGATGTCCATTGGATGAGTGAAGATGGGGACCACATGGATGCTGCCAATTCTAGTTTTCTTGGGGGTTTAAATGTCAATTTACATCATGCTAATCTAGACCAAAGCACCAGAGATGGATTTTATGTGGAAATAGATGTTCTTAGTGATAAAGATGATGACGAATTGATAAATGCATGTGGAAAACAAGCTGAGTTTTGGAGGCAAACACATGCTGCTTCTAATTGTTGCTTATTGGATTGTGATGATGTTTTTGAGGTACCAATAAGGGTTCATAAAGGCAAAGGAAAGGAGATTACAGAAGATATCAATGGTGATTACAAGTTATCTGATTCCAATACATCTATTGCTAGTTCTGAAAGAGAGAAAGACTCGAACTACATTGACAGTGACGATCCAAGGGAATATGTATCAAATTCTGGTGATGAATTATTTGCTATTGATGATGCTCTTAGGCAGAAAACTTCATGTCCTGTTTATGACCTCACTTGTGCTATTCCACATTTTGAGCTTGGTATGAAATTTCAAAATCATATCAAATTCAAGAAAGCTGTTGCCAAGTACTCTTCATACAAGGGGTTTGCTCCTAAATGGCTAAGAAATGCTCCTGATAAGCAAAGAATTAGATGCATGGCTAAAAATTGTCCATGGTATGTTTCTGAAACTTATCAGAAAAGGGATGGCAGCTTTAAAGTGGTAGCTTTGGTTAGGGAGCATATTTGCCTTTAAAATATGAAAAATCCAACAGTCACTGCAAAGTTTTTAGCTTAGCATCACAAAATGAGAATTCGGACTGTACCAGGGATTAGAATCAGTGAGCTAATTAAGTTTAGTAAGATTGAGTGTAATGCTATCGTGAAAAAGGACAAAATGGCAAGGGCAACAAAGATGGTGCATCAAGAGTTACAAGGTAATTATAAAGATGAGTTCAGGGTGTTGAAAGGTTATATGAAACTGCTAAAGGAAAATAATCCAAGCACATCTGTCCATTTTGAAGTGACTAAGTATCCAATTGATCCAATTCCAAACTTTAAAAGGATGTATGTTTGCATTGGTGCACTAAAACATGGCTGGTTGGTTGGTTGTAGGCCAATTATAGGGATTGATGGGTGTTTTCTCAAGGGACTTTGTAAGGGGATTTTGCTGTCAACTATAGGGAGAGATGGAAATGACCAAATGTACCCTTTTGCTTAGGCTGTGGTGGAATCAGAAAATAAGGAGTCATGGACATGGTTTCTAAGGCACTTGAAATCTAATATTTTACGAAAGGATGGCACAAGATTGGAAATTATTTCAGACCAGCATATTGTAAGTTGATATAGCTTTTTAGATGTAAAACTCTAATTTCATACCAACATGTTATGTGAAATTATTTTATTTTTTTGTAATCCAATTTTTTAATTATGTCATACCAACATGTTATGTGAAATTATTTTATTTTTCTGTAATCTGATTTTTTTATAAGTTTATGATCTATATTTTACTTATTTTCATACTTATAGCTTTTAAAATGTAAAACTATAGTTTTAATTAACTTATGTGATTTTATAGGGTATTTTAGCAGCTGTTAGATCAGTTTTTCCTAAGGCTGAGCACAGATTTTGTGCTAAACATATCTATGCAAATTGGGCAAAAGATCATTTAAACAGAGGGGATGAAAAAAAGCTGCACTTTTGGATAACTGCTAGGTCTACTTATGCTGAGGAATTTAATGACAACATGGTACATATGCAAAGGCTAAAACAAGCTGGCCATGATGCATTAGCAATGCTAGACCCAAAGAGATGGTGCAAGGCTTTCTTTCAAACATATTCAAGGTGTGACATCACTGACAACAACCTAACGGAGACATTCTATTCTTAGATACTTGATGCAAGATGCAAGGCTAAATGTAGTATGACAAATGAGCTGGTAGATAAGTTGATGGTTAGGCATGGTGAAAAGAAGGCATTTTGTAGGAAATGGCCTACTGACATTGCTCCAAGAGCATACAAGAAATTGTAGAAAAATGTTCGCATTGCAAGTTATTGCCATCCACAATGGAATGGGGAAACATCATTCAAGGTTAAAAAGGACAATGAAGCATTCATAGTTGAATTCACAAATTCCACATGCACATGCCAATCATGGCAGTTGACAGGGATTCCTTGCCCACATGCTTGTGCTTGTCTAATTGATCAAAATCAAATTGTGGAGGAATATGTTTCCCATTACTACAAGAAAGAAACTTATTTGGAAGTGTACAAAGAACCAATTTACCCTTCTAGAGAAGGTATGAGAATCTGGAATCAAACTGGATGTGAACCAATGAATCCACCACCATTTAGGCAACAAGCTAGGAGGCCGAAAAAAAATAGAAGAAAAGATAAGGATGAACCAAAAAAGGTTAGCAAGTCTCGGTTGGCTGTCCAAAGGATTTCCAGATCAGGTGCTAAGATGACTTGCTCAATTTGTGGAGTTAAAGGTCACAACAAAACTGGTTGCCCTAAAAAAAATTCACTAGATGTGGTTCTTGGTCAAATAAAAGCTTGTATTATAAATACTTACGTGTCCATTAAATCTGGTGGTAATTATAATATAATTTAATTTGTGGAGTTGAGAATCATATTTAATTTAATTTAATTTTTTTTATGTAGAAGGCTTCATATAAGGGCAAAAAACATGCTTACAAGAAGAGAAAAGAAGTTGGTCTTTGTATCTTTAATGACCCATTGACTGGAGATGCCATTTTGGATGTAAGAGCATTATTGTCACTTGAGATTTTATTTTATAAAATCTGGTGTATACATGCATAGGTATATATATATAATTTTTCGTTTTTGCTTATGTTCAGTTATAAAGGTTTTGATTTTAACAATGGTGACTTATGTGGTTTTTTTTTCATAAAAAATCATGAAACAACCTGGACATGCTTCTGAGTTGTTTGTTTCAAGTGGAAGTCAAAGGGAAAGAAGAGGAATGCAACAAGAGTTTAGGGAGATTGGGCCAGGGACTGAAGTTGGAGAAAGCTCAAAACAAGGGAGCAAGAGAAATGGGAGACATGAAAATGGGATTCAAATTTCTAGGAAGAATAGAACCTCAAAAAAACAGAAAAATGAAGTATACTATGTTATTTTGCTTAAATCTCTTAGTATTTTTGTTAGAATGTATTCTGGTCTTTTGTTTAAGTCTAATGTGTTCTTTTATTTATGTATATTGTTATTGTGGTATTCTATCTTTTGTTAGAATGTATTCTGTTCAAGTACCAATGTTTTTTGGTCTGTTGCTTAAGTTAAAACTGGTATTTTTGTTAGAATTGATTCTAGTCTTTTGTTTAAGTCTATGTGTTCTTTTATTTATGTATAATGTTACTGTGGTATTGCTTCTGAGTTGTTAGAATGTATTCTGTTCAAGTACCAATGTATTATGGTCTATTGCTTAAGTTAAAACTGGTATTTTTGTTAAAATGGATTCTGGTCTTTTGTTTAAGTTTATTGTGTTCTTTTATTTATGCTTAATATCACTATAGTATTTTATCTTTTGTTAGAATGTATTATGTTTTTTTACAATGTATTTGGTCTTTTGTTAGTTTGATATATTCTAGACTTACAAAGAATGAGAATATACAAAATAAACACTTTTCATTTCTAGAAACTATCAATAGGAAATTGAATGTCCATTTCCAAAAACTGTGATTACAGGTGGGATGGCCATTTGGTCATCTTACATTGACAAAACAGAAGCAAAATGACCACTTCCTATTACACTACACAAAACAGCCATTTGGGCATCTTACTAAGCAAAACAGACAACATAAATTGGTTGTTATTGCACCTCACTTCAACAAAACCAAACAAGTAACAAAAACAACACTACAAAAAAAAAAAAAAAAAAAGCAGTCCTATAAAAATTCAAACTGAATGAATCTAGCCCTCCATTCTCTTCTATTTTTTCTAGCATTCCTTTCTTGCTGTCCATTCCACAGATACACTTTTCATCCTTTTCTCTTTTAGACACCATTGCTTCCATTTCAACACCTCCACTACTCTCTACACTAACCAATTATGCTCTTAACATCTTGTTCTCATTCTCCAAAGCCAATTTTTCATTTTTAAGCCTGTTAAATATATCTTTGTATCAACTCGATAATTCAGCATCAACCCATTCAAAAAAAATGCAGGCTCTTGCTCCACCACCACCTGGCTGTAGTACTCAAAATAAGATTCAAAAGCAAATAAACTTGAAATGTGATAATTAATTTCAAGAACAATTACCAAATACCCTTTACTAACCTACCAAAATGGGCATTTGTAGTACCTTCTTCCTGGATTTAACTCACTCATGCTAACGTGAAGCCGTGCTGCTAATCCATGATCACAAACAACTTGTCTAGCACCAGATCCATCCATAGAAGGTCGAAGAGAAAGGGTAGATGCTAAAGATGAAGCCCTAGACTTCATCTTGGTTTCAGGCCAAAAATTGAGGACTTCAAGAATGTTTTGCTCTGCCTCACCTGCACCTCCACCTACGCCCCTGCTTCGGCTATTAAGCTCTGCCTTCACCTCTGCCTTGGCCTTCTCTTACCCTATTTCAAACAGATATTTCAAAACAAAAATGGGAAAGGATTTCAAGATTGGTAGGCTCTCAAACTCTTCTATGTAATGGCTTCCTTGCACTTCTTCTTAATCTTGGTCATAGCACTGCTCTTCACCTCTTCCACTGCGCAATCACCCACACCATCATCGTCTCATGCAATCAAATCAAATTGCTAGCTTCTGCATCGCCTCCGTCGGAAATGACTGACTACTCCACCCACTACCGAACCATCTCCATCTCCATCTTCAATCTCTTCGACTCCTACAGAAGATTGGTAAGAAATTGCAAGGAGGTAAAATTTTCTAGATTAGAAATTTTCCAAATGAGAAATTTTCCAGATCTAACTTGCGGTTTCAACAACAAAAAATGAAGCATGTTAAAATCAGGGATTTTATCCCTAATTCATGGGAATCCTTGGTCAAAAAGACCAAAAGGCCCACCAGTGGGTTTCAATTATTTGTGGAGTTAAAAATTCATGTCCACATAGCCTCCACATGGCAAAATAATTGACATGTCATCAGAATTTTCTCCAACTGTGTTACAGTTGGGTGGAGCATTAACGATGTTAATGGTGTTTGTAGGAGATTTGATGGAAGTTAGTTTTTCGTCCAATTGGGACCTTATTTGAGAATTTCGTGGAGTTCGGGACCTTCATTGAGCGCAATTGAAGTTTGGTCCAAAATTGCAAATTTGGTGTAAGTTCGAGTCCCTATGTCATATTTTTGCCCACCTAAAAAAACAAACTAAATAGCCAAATACTCCAAAAGAGTTGAGATTTTACTGTTGTCGTATGTGCTATATTGGCGTTTTTTCTCTCTTTAGTGTTTTTTTGTTGGCTAAAATACTCCTAGAGAAGGGTAAATTGGAATCTTCAATTTTTTTTTTTTTTTTGTGCTTCCATCAAATGAAAAATAAAGAGAGAAAGAAAGAAGAGTTTACACAATTGATTTTATAGAGGTTTAACTTAATCACTTAGCATCTAATCATCTACCTTGTCTTCACTCACTAAAGATTTCCTCCTCACTCTCCAGTAGTGATCAAGAGCAACTTTAAAAAGTTACCCAATCTTTTACAAAGTGTTTTTCACTCAAACACTCCCTTTACTAGAATCCCCAATAAACCTCACTTGGTTTCTCTCTAGAAGACTTCACTCATCATTAAGTATCACTTCTTAGGGCTTGACTCACCCCCAAGATTACAAAAATTGGTAGAAAGAAAGATTACAAAAGATATGATCTCTCAAAAATCTAATTTGTAAGTGTAAGCTCAAAACTTTTAAAAGGATTTACAAATCTAGGCTCTACTCTTGTTTTTCATCTTCCATCATGTGTCTAGAGGCTCTCTAGGGAATTTATCAATCATATTTGTTGAGTTAAGGTTGAAACTAGCCATTAATTACCAGCCATTTATAATTATTGGATGTGTTGATTCAATGTACTCCAAGAGGGGGGATGAATTGGAGTTCCAAAAATTCTCCTTTTTTACAACCACAAAACCAAAATTAAAGAGAGTAAAGAAGAAGAGCTTGCACAATGATTTTATAGAGGTTCAGTCCAACCACTTGGAACCTAGTCCTCTACCTTCGCTTCATTCACCAAGAATTTCCTCCACACTCTCCACTAACAAAATCAAGGGTGGCTTAAAGGAACTACTCAATCCTTTTACAAGAAGAAGGGTGTTTCTCTCAAATCTCACCCCTTTACAATATAAACCCCAAGAATCCTCTCTATAGATCACTCTTGAAGGATTAATCACACCCCCAAAATCACTCACAAATAGAACAAGAAGAGGATTACAAGTAAAGATGTCTCAAAGATCAAAAACTCAAGCTACAGCACATGTAGGTAGGTAAAGATATTCAATGCAATGCTCTAAAACTTGTTCTAGATCTTCTACCAACCATATTGATAACCCCATGGTTGAAAATAGCCGTTACTAGCCGTTGGGGGTCATTAAATGCTCTGCAGGTCACTTAAGTCGAGTTGTAGAATTGTCAACACATCCAACTTAAGAAAATTTGCAACCGGCTTTACGAGTTTCATGTATATTCTATTTTCTCCGTAGAGCTGGCTGCAAAATGTAAGGCCGGCTTTGTGGGTTTTGTGCACATTTTGTTTCCTTGGATAGCCGGCTTCAAAACACGAAGCCGACTTTGGGATTCCGACTTTATAAACATTAATTAATCTTCAAATAACTCGACTGTTGTGCATTAAATACGCCCTCACAGCCGGTTGCAAAGTTAAAGCTGGCTTAACATTTGTTTTTTGCGCCTCCCAAACAACGGACTTCAAATTTTCACCCGTAGAGCTAGCTCTTAAAAGCTACAGCCAGCTCTCTGCATTTTTGCCTTCGAGAGTCAACTACACATTTTCTTAAGTCGGCTCTATGTACATTTTAGCCTTTTGGTCCATTTTTAATGCAGTCCAAGTTTACTTACTTTGAAATCTTTTGACATTTTAACCACACATTTAAATAAACCAATTAGTCACTCAAATATGTTTTGTAATCATCAAAATCATAGGTACAACAGGATGCACTGCAAAATTAACAAATTTGAAAAACTAGCCATTATTCCAGAGTCCAAAGTCAAATTTAAAAACCAAGAATTGAATCTATAAAGTATAGATTTGACTCTCCAAAATAAGAGTCAACTCTTCATAAACTTCTAGAATTTGGCCAATTTTAATCCTGCATTCCAAGAGTTGAACATGCAACTTGAGAGTTGACTATAGCCCTCCAAGATTTTGTTCTTCATTTCTATATTCAAATCTCCTCTGTCTCTTAGAATTTCCATCCTTTTGATTCCAAGATTTGAATTTTGAAATGCATATTTGTATCTTCCAGCATTTTTTGTGTTTTTCATACTTCAACTTTAAGTCATCATATCTTTCTCATTTGAATTTTGTTTTGGATGTTCTTATACTTGTTGGAAAGCTTAGGATGTTTGCTTTTATATAAACTAACTCTTGAACCAAAACTCTCACTAGGGACCTATATTTTCTTGAATGAATGAATGGAGGTCATTGTTGCAATGCATGGAGGCTTGATTTTATATAACTTTCTCTCTAAAACTATTTTCAATCCTACACACTTGTACAAAGCTCATTAAACTTTTTTGATGGTTTTGTTATCATTAAAATCATTATAGGAACTCAATATTTTTCATTATAATTAGGTATATGAAAGATGGAAAATGAGTTAGAATTGTAATGTTCAAATTTCAACATTTTTGGCAAATCACCCTTTATGAAAATAACTAGGGAAATTTACTAGGTTGTTATAGTTTTCTGGACATCTATAAGTTGTTCCATTTCTAATTACCCTTGAAACTCTTCTTCTTTACCAGATTGTACCAACCTAACTTTTTGCTATCTCAATTGGTGTAAATTTAGTTAAGTGGACCCATTATTTCCATAAAATTTCAAAAGTTAGATAAGACCACTAGCTGTGGCTACAATGGCAACATGTACACATTCAATGATGGTTTACTTTATTTCCACAACAAAAGGTAGTTTGTTATCTTAACTTCTTCTTTTTTACTGTGAGGGATTTGTAAACTACTATAATATCAAATTATTATCTTTACATATTAGTCCATTTTTATACATATATAGCAAATAATATGCAAACTACTATAACATGATCATGAATCCCTATGTTGCTTTATCAAGGAGATGGTATCACCAACAAAAACTAATTAAGCGCACATTTAAAGTGCTAGCTAGAGTGTGGGATAGGATAAAGTTTGTCCTATCCCACGAGTATTTTGTTATAGTCCCACATGGCTAATCAACATTGCAATTGACATAGGCTCTGATTCCCGCGTTGCTTTGTTCATACCATAGGCTCCGGCGTTGCTTTGCTCATCCTACTCGTTCAAGTCTTCGATCATCTATTTCTTCATCTTCCGCCATGGATCTCGATTCTTGTAAGTCTCGTATTATTACTTTATTTATCTTCCAATCTCTTTCGTTTTCATTAATCTTAGATCTCGTCCGTTTTCTTTAGTGTCTGATCATCGTATTCCTATTCTTTTACTCCTAAAATCAAAAAGACCCAAATTTATCCCCTATCTCTCTCACTCGACGAGCACTCAATCTCAATTTCTATATCAATTATGTCTGTGGCGCCCTCTCCTCGTACATTCTTGTAAGTCCCCAATATTTGCTTTCTCTTTCCCTCTACTAGAAGTAGTACTGTTGCTTCTCAAACAAAATTGGGTACTAGTATTATACCATCTGAAGAAGGAATTGAACTCTAGCTTTATGAGGAAAAGAAGAAAAGGGAAAATACTAGAGAGGAAATGAAAATGGAGTAAAATGTAAAGACAAGTGCAGCGGTCAACAACCTGTGTAGATGGAGGTGTTTGGAACTCAAGAAAATGACAAGGAAAATGTTGGAAACGTAGAGAAAAAAGGAAGTATGATTTTTCCCTTTTTAAATAAGAAATTCAAATTCAATATTATGGGTATTTTTGTTGAGACTATAAAGATTTTTAATCAATATTATTTTAATTAAAAATGATATACTTAGAATGTTATGTTGTATTTTAACTTACAACATGATATGTTATTATACAATTGTATTTTTTTCATTCAGGATTGACTCATGATATTATATATATTAAGTTATTTAATGATAGGTCACACTCTTTTAATTTTACATTATAATTGTATACTTATAATTTTACATGGTATTATAACTATAATGTTACCGTATTTTAATCCGATAATCAATCAAACATGTCATTGGATTCCAATAAGTCCCACTCCATCTAAGCTACTCCAATCTTATCCTTTGATTTATCTACTATACAATCCATATTATATAATTGCATTTTTTCATTCATGATTGACTCATGATATTATATATATTAAGTTATTTAATGATAAGTCACACTCTTTTAATTTTAAATCATAATTGTAAACTTATAATTTTACATGGCATTATAATTATAATATTACCGTATTTTAATCTCATAATCAATCAAACATGTCATTGGATTCCAATCAGTCCCACTCCATCTAAGCTAATCTGATCTTATCCTTTGGTTTATCTACTATACAATCTAATTCTATACCCAATCGTACCCTCAAGGAATAATTCCTTACTTAAATTGCACAATTTCGTTTTTGGATTTCTCCTTGGATTCATCATATGGCGGCAAAACTCCACTAATTGCCCTTCAACTTTCAAGTGTGTGAGATTTTACCCCCACATTACAATATGTGATTTTATACCCTCCTAGTATTCGAGTTTATGATAATGAGGCAATATTAACGTTGA